CAAGAGGCAGAACTCAGTTTAACATCCCATCCGAGGTGCTGGGTGACACCTCATGTCCCGGCCACTCCATTAGCTACCACCTGCCCTGCCCCAGGGCTGCTGAGGAGGACAGGTGACAGCAGGGGTAGCAATACTTCCCACTAAGACAGATTTACTGTCTGACAAAAGGAACAAAACCTCAACCCTCCTGGAATAACGCATGTCCCAACATTGCTGTAAAATTAGGGAAAGGCTGTGGACACTGCAGGATAGTATGAAGAGCTCCACTGATTCTGGGGGGGGTCCTGCATCACACCCCTGGTTATTTAGTTGTACTCAGATATCCCTCTGACTATAGGTGGGAATTTGGTGTCATCTAAATAAGCCCTATGGGATCAGCTCTAACATGTTTTTCTTAGCTGCTTTCATGTGTTCATAACTATTCCTCTGGAGCAGGCCTGGGAAGACTGTAGAAAAAGGAGCAGCAAGTCTCTGCTCTTGTCTCAGGCCAAAATCCAATGATTTATAGAAGCCTGAGGAGTGCATATGGGCGGGCGCGTGGGTGTCCACGCGTGCACACGTGTGGAAAGGTGATAGTAGCCTGGAGGACTGGGATTTATGATCATTCCAGAAGTATGCCAATGAATAAAACGTTCATAATAATATTTAGGGCTAGATCAATATATATGGATTTATGAAGCCATTTAAGGAAAATACAAATATACAACAATTTATGAGGGTATGGGGAAATATACTATTAGAGTAAGGATGCACCATATGAACTCATCAACCACTCTAGGATTTACAGCCATGTACAGGAAACTACTACTAAAAGCAAGATTGAAGGCTTTTGAAGGTATAAGCCTACCTAATCATACATCTGCTTTTCAGAGAAATCACTGCCAGTGCAGCAGTGACTGTGGAAACTTTGCAGCCCTCATGCCAAACTGGCTGCCCCACGTGTAGGAGCCGTGCTCAGGTAGGCTGAGCCCCACACTGTGGAAAGTCAAGAGCAGCACAAAGTATCCCCATCACCACGAAGGTGGTAGTCAGGAGAGATCAAGATGGGTGAAGGAGTCATTGGCTCCTCTGGGCTCCCTGGGGCTCCAAGAAAACTGAAATTGTTCCTGCTATGGGGAATGGGGTGTAAGCACAGCATCTACACTTCTCTGGTGGCTCTTTCATCTCAACCCCAGACCAATAAAATGAATATTTCCCAAGGGGTGATGTTCACCTTTCCTCTCATTAAAGCCGGGAAGTGGGCTGCGAGGAAGGAAATACGTGGTGATGGAGCAGCTCCCAAACCGCAGGTACTGAGGCAGGGCTGCAGTCCAGCACGAGAACTGGAATAACATCCCATTACTCTTCATAAGTGGATATTTTTCCATGTGGATTTTTGGCACATTCATTGTTTTCCATACTTTGGCAGACAAGTATGGTCCTAATTTAATGAAGCATTACGTGCAAAACTGAATTATAATAATTCACATGTTAGCACTTCAGCCATTTTCACTGATGATGACTCTATGGAAAACAGTCTGTTAAAGCAAAAAGGACTTTAGTCATAAGGAACCATCTCAGAAGAATATCAGTAAAATTGGGGCAAATTTTTTTATATATTTACATATATATATTTTTTTATACAAGTTAGCCCATGAATTCTAGACTCTGTGTGAATGGTCTTTAAATGGACTGTGGAGTAAAAAAAATTGTTACTAAAGATTGTTCTGTGAGTGCTTCAGACCTAGTTTCACATGACGCAAGAAGCATTTGTCCCAGGTACGCTTGATTCATTATCAATTAGAAGGATTAAGCAGTCTCTCCTTGCTTTACTTGCCTCATTAATCATCTTTTTAATGATGCAAAAGAAGCAAAAATAGGAGCAAAAAAAGAGAAGTAAAACTAAATTTTAGGGAATAAAGGAAATAGAATAGTTCTGCACACACAGAGGATCAAGTTATTAGCATTGTCACATTTTTCAGGAGCAAAATTAGTCTTTAATGGACAAAAATTCTGTGATGGATTAATGTCAATGCTGGGAAATTTCCAGTGCTGGGAACTAATCATTTCTGAATAGCTTTATACGGTGCTGTTGTATAAACAGCCCTCACTGTTGGCACAGCCCTACAAAAAGAGATGTTGGATTTTCCCAGCTCCAGCTGAATTCCCTGGGAGCCAAGGCCAGCCATCCCTACCAAAAGTATCTTTGCACCTTATGAGAATAGCACCTTGAAACACCCAAAAGATTCTACAGCTCATGGACAGCCTGATCCACACTGATTGGGGTAACCTTCCCACCCTTGGAGATACTCAAAGCCTGTCCCCAGGGCAAAGTCTTGAGCAACCTGGGCACGCTGGACCTGCTTTGAGCAAGGGATTGGATGTGAGACCTACGGACTTCCCTCCAACCTAGGTTATTCTAGAGTTCTGCTGCAGCATTTGAAATCCACTGCTCAGGCACACAGAGAGCTCCTTGGTAATGTCATTTCACAACAACCTGCTGATATTTCTTTGTGTCCATCACTTTAATCTCTCAAACTCAGCACTTTCCTAGGAGGTATATCCCTTGCTTCAGTGCAAAAAACTTCTCTGAGCTCGAGCTGCCTCTGCTGTATGGCTGTTGCCTGAACCAGTCCCTAGGTGTAGCTCCTGCCTGGCAGTACCAAAGTGTAGGATTCGCCTCCCCTGTCTTTGGTGATCTTGAAGTCAGAGCCTGGTCTACGGGGGAGAGTCAACAGAGGAAGACAAGACAGAAAAACCCAGAAGAGAGTTCATCCCATTTTAAGACAGCAGGGCTAAACTGCCACCTGGAGGAGCCTGCCTCCCTCCTCTGCTCACAGAGGCAGCCTAGGCGACAGCTTTTGGACGGGGTTCTGGTTTTCAGGCAGCTGGCATTACGAGAGGTGAATGCCTGCTCTTCCGCCAGACGAACAGAAAAAAACTGGATGTAAATGGCCACGTCTCCCTATGACAAACGGTTGGAGAGCACAGCACTGAAACCTTGAGCACTCAGTGCCCTTTCCCAAGTACAAAAAAATCTCCTCTTTCTCCCCTTCAGGGCATTAAACTTTGGACTTGCCACTAAAAGGAGAAGTAACAAGAGTCAAGCAGCTTGTCTCTGGATAATTTCCTTCTCCTTTGTGGACTGTTTTTGTTGCTAGGCTCTGAGAACAAATGTACTGTGTTTTCACCACATGTGCATAGAGAGAAACATTTGTGGAGCACGGAGCATTAACCGGTTCCTAGAAGAGGAGCTTGAACATTTCTCCCAGTTGAATCTCTGTGAGCTAAATTCCTTGTAGCAAGAGGGCAGTGGTGCTCCCAGAAGCAGACACTTAAAAAGCAGAGGAAGGTGATAGCATTTCCTTCAGCTGACTGCCAGCCCCCACACATGGGACATCAGCATTATCATTCCCGTTTCACAGAAAGGACAGCAACAGCGAAGAACGGGGAGGGGAAGTCAACCACAGATTCAAGGCTGAGTCCAAAGTCATCATTCAGAGCTGAGTTTATTGCAAAGTCTCCCCTGGCTCGGGCTGCGTTTAACCCCATTCCTACGATGGCTGAGGATGAAGGGATTTTTACCCATGCTTAGAGATTCAAGGTACAAATCATGGACAGATGTGTTAGGAAAGAGAAACAGGAAAATAAGTGAATATGTTCTCTTAAGTGGACTGTGCAATGTCAAAAGAAGTGTTAAATTTCTTCTTCCAATATAGAATGTCTGATTAAAACAAATACGAACTGCACACAATGCAATAAAAAACAAATGTTCCATTTTCCACTTCTTCTTGCTACAGCTGTTTGTTTTAAACATATAAAGATTAAGGGAACAGTCTTGAATTTAATTAAATCCCAAAAGAACTAATGATATTTATGCATATTAAATTTTTAAAGGCACTTGTGGCAGTTCAGCCAATCATTCACTGGACTGTCATAACATGCCTCCCAACCCTAATTTAAATTAGAAAGAAGAGACTCATGAAAAAAAATGTGCAGACAGTAACCTTTTCACTGCACATATGTTTAAGAGATAAACGCCCATCTAGCTTTAAAAGGCAACAAATCTAATAAATGGCCACATCATAATAATTCAACGGTGGAAAAAAAAATCAATGTTACAAATTTCGGAACTGCATCTCTCAGGAAAGTAAATTAAAACATCAATTCAAACCTACTTTAAAGGGTTTATAAAGGGAACATTGTCGTCTTAACACAGAAACTCCCAGATCACTCTAGATGAAGCTGGGGCTTTCCCAGAGCTGTGATGTAGGGAGCAGTGTTTGGTGGGGCATCTCTGGAGCACAGCAAGAAGCCCCACTCTGTTGTTTGCTTTCCCCTTCTCTAGCCCTGTACCTTCAATAAGCCAAGAAGTACCTTAGGACCTGGGTCTCTGATGAAGATCTCTCAGTAAGAGGAAAAATGCTTTCTTGCTCTTATTGCAGTAAATCAAGAAAGCATCTGATGTGGCCCTGAGCAAGTCCCTGGTCCAAAGCTACAATCTCTGAACCTTCTTGCTTGTTACCAGGTTGGCTGTAAATGCAGGCTGCAAAGCTGCAAGGCCTCCAGTTCTTCTGCCCTGCGTAATTTTTCCCCCTTGCGTACTCAACATTTTGTTATCCCAGTTCGTGCATAGTCATCTCTCCCACCTTCAACAACAGGCTCCTCCTCCCTGCATCTCCTAAACACTAATAAAAGGTGTTTCCCATTCCACCTACCTTTCAGCATTGCCATACAGCATTAATCAGAGAGAACTTTGAAAGCTCAATAAAGTACAGCTTCTTGCTAAACAGAAAGCCCTAAGTACTACTCCTTTTCTCACAAGCAATTCTGCTGACTTTCTCAAGTAAGGATTCAGACCCTGTTTAGAAAAGCACTTTCTTGCCTATGGTTAAGCCTATTTTTATGGTTTATCAATCGTAATAGGAAAAGGCCCAGCCATTAAGTACTGCTGTGTTCCTGTTTATGAGACTCTTCAACCTTACTTTGCTAATATGACACAGCCTTTGCCCAGCACTTACCTATCAAATACTCCAGCCAGAATTGGTCCGTCTCTGGCTTGTAGGGTCGGTTGAAGTCAATCTGGATTTGGAAAGGCTGTCCCCGGCGCACTATCAGCTTGGGGCTGTAGTACTTGTCAGTGTGGTGCTGCTGCTTGTTAATCTCATGGGGCTCCTTGAACATATGAATGTCCACAACACGGAGATAATCTGCAGAGGCACGTAAATGAACAGAGAAGGAAGGAGTCAGTATGTTAGAATATCAATATTAATATCGACATCATTAGAGGCCCTATCCTCCACTTCCCCAGTGTTGCCTCATCGAGGAACACTATGTAATGGAGCATGCGGGATCTGTTTGGGGCTTACATCCTCCTGGCTGAGCAGGGACTTATGGACTGACACTTCTCTGTTCACCTGCCATTTTCACAGAGGCTGCAAGGCTTCTAGTGAATGGTGAAAGCAATTGCAGAAAGAGCAAATTGCTACGGGTGGAAAGCTGAATGTCCCCAAGGAGAGCTGGGCTCCATCTTCCCTCTGGCATTGGCTTTCTGCAAGTCTGGGCCTCGCTGTCACAAGTTTACCAGTGCACTCAGTGGGCCTTTGACAGCTGTGGCTTCTTGTCTCCATTCTTGCAGCCCTTCATTTGTAAAATGCAAATCCACAGGAGTTTTGTGATGCTTAAATACATTAATGTTTGCAAAGCGCTACTGCTATCGAGTGCTGAAGAGCCTGAGAGGCAGTAAATGATCTTGCGTTCAGCTGAGAGCTTGGATTGTCTGTATTAAATAAGGTTTTGGTGTACTGTATGTGTCTAGACTCAGCTTCTCAGTACACCTCTGCTACTATTAGTGTCTTCTTATGAAAACTAAATATAACATTACAATATATAATTACAGCATAGAGTTATAGGCAAACAGCAGTAGGTATCTATAACATGCACGGGCAAAGCTTCGCTCGCCTCAAATTAGGGCTGTCTAAAGGGTTATAGCCTACCACTGCTAGAAGTTAGCCTGCTCAGCTAATGACCAGTGTGGGGTGGCAAAGGCAATTGCAGTCACCACAAGCTATGTGACTGTACCATACCGGGAATCTTCACAATGGCAGTCTTCTCTCACAACGAGCAACCACATGAAAACGAACTGGACATCATTCTTTCGCCTACATGCTTGGGCAGATAGTCACGAAATCTCTGCCAGGAGGACCATTACTGCTCGCCACCAGGAGAGAGACAGAAGAGTAAAGCTTGACTTGCAGCTCTCGGCTTGTCTTTCCAGGTGCTGACAGTTACAAACTAGCTAATTTCTGCATTTTATACTGACGACAGAGCCAAACTCATGCTTGGCAAAAAGAGGTGCACGTTTACAGCAGCTGGTGGAGCTGTGTGTACTCGCGATGGTGGCTAATTTGGCCTGCTACTGAGTACACTGTGAGCAGGAATGATGCGCTCAGCAAATGAGTCAAATATTCAAGTCACTGAGGGCTGAATGTGGCCCATTTCACAGAAGCTCAGACAACAGCTTCGCACACTGCTTTTCCTTGAAGGCAGGGAGACACTGCATAGCAGCCAGCTCTGGACAAGGAGTAGAGCAGCTCCCTCTTGGGTGTGTAGCCTCCAGACTACAACAGTGTGTGCATTAGCCCTGCCCTTCTGCAGGGATGTGTTCAAGACACCAGCAGTGCCCCACAGGCAGCAACTCCCCAGGTGCCAGCATGGCCCTTCTCCTGCCCTGGCCAAGCCACCCAGACTGGGCTTTGGGTGACAGCTAACGGGAGAGGGGGAAATCAGGGCAGCAGGAGCAGATCCCACTCCTGCATTGCATTGTCACCAACAGCTGCCTAGCCCTGCCCTGAGCGAAACAGAAGGAAAGGAAACTGTCCGAGGACACAGCAAGATAAGGATCCTTTGATGGAAAAGCCCTGGAGAACTGAACTCAAAACCATCCGCCTCCTGCTAACCCTAATCCATGGAGAGGCTGGAATACCCTGTTCAATACTAAGGCAGGCTTAAAGTCCCATGGCAATGTTATCGTTATTCTCCTCTCAATTCGCCAGGCTTCTGGAGTAACTTCTGTAGATCCCCACTGGCTTTAGCACTGGTTGAAGTTACAGAGATGTTTTTTGTGTGAAACATTTAATGCATTTTGCTCAGAAAACATTCTCATTGCCCCTCTGTGAAGTGGGGCATGTCTTTGCCTTCCTTTCTGCAAAATTTACCAATGCTCACTCACAATAATACTGACAAAGCTCACCATTAAATTACGTGAGGCAGGAATTTCCTGGAGGGGAGGGGGTAAAGAAGGGGCAGGGAAGAGTCTTTCCCGTTATGTCTCCCAATCCCTCCCAGGCTGAAAGCACTGCATGTGAAAGCTGCGTATCTTGGGGCTCTGTGAGGGATGAAGCTACCAGTAAGTTTGGCTCAGCTTCTCCCTCCTTCCAAGGAGGCATAAAAAATGGAGTTGAGGGTTTGTTGTGTTTTTATCTCATGTTCTGAAATAAAAGGCAACAGTGACCCTGCCCTTTCTTCACATGTTAGCCCCTTCAAGGAACTGCAAAGCTAAGCCACCCTGGGCCATCAGTTCAGCGTTCGCTTCATTTCATCTCAGGACTTACTCCTGTCAAAACAGCCACACACATCTGCAGAAAACACATTCCACTTTCACCGTCAGTGGTAAAACGTACATTGAGCTTGCCAGATGAAGATAACCTGTGACCGAGCCTGTGCTAATTACGGCAATGGTAATTACGGAGGACAAAACATGAGCAGGGTAACGGGATGTGCTAACGCCACCACCAGAGTACGATCAAAAGGAAGGGTCCAGGCACTGCGCACGTCACTGCTCATCTCTTTGTGAGGGGCAGGTGGCCATCGAGGGCTCCTTTGAAGTCAAGTCCATTTGACGGTTTGCCTGTAGCCTAGTCTGCTGTTTAGTGCAAGCAGGTTTGCTGCATGAGAGACAGCAGTCTGATGCTTTCTTAAAGCTTTTGCAACATTAAGCTTGCATGGAAATAAATAAGCACAAGCTGGAGCTGTTTTTTGAATAACAAGAAAAACCTTCAAACAGCAGGCTTTCGTGCAGGACTAGAAAGGGCTCCGGATTACAAATGGAATAGTGTCAGTTTCCAAAGGAGACGCCCATCGCTCTGCTAACAGGGGAAGCATGATTCCCTGGCGCGTCGACGAACTTTGCAAAGGAGGGTGCGTGGGGAGCTTGCAGACCGTGGGGCTGCAGGGCTGTGTCCTCCCCCCGCGCAGCTGAAAGCGCCAGGCCCACTCGTAACACATGGCGGTGAGATGAGCTGGCTAGGAAGAGCCAGGGGGAGGACACAGCACAGGCGTGTTCACGGAGACACAGGCTTCTTGCCGAAGAAACACTCGGGGGCTGCGCGTCCTCCTCACTGAGCATCTCTTCCCGCAGCAGGCAGCCCACCGACCGGGCTGGGGAGGCAGCTGTCCCCGGCAGCCTCTGCCACTCACTCCGGCTGTGATTCAGCAGAGTAGAAGTGGGTGTCAGCAGAGAGCTAGTCAAGCACAAGGTTTTACCTCATCCTAGAGTAGTAGCTAAAATAGGTCAAATGAATCACACCCTAAAAATGCCTGTTTCTCTCTGTTGGCTGTCAAGGGAAATGAGGGTGACTAGCTCAGCTGTAGACACCTACACTGCACAGATCAAAGGCAAGATTCAGTTAAATTTAGGCATCTAAATGATGTGAGCCTGATATGTAACCTCTTATTATGGCCAGTTGCTGCTGCCAGTGGAGCTGAGAGAAGGATACAGATCACCCGGGAAGTGACACCTGCTGCCTCTCTGGACAGCCTGTGCCCTCACCTTTCCACACTGGATGGCTCTGTGTTGACTATGATCTGGCACAGGTGAAGACACTGACATTTAGATGTTTATAGCAGGTGTCCAATCATATCCCAAGGGCTAGAAAACACCTCAGTTGTAACAGCAGAGTTAAAAGCATTTGCATGTTTTTTTCAGTGTGTTATGGCAATGAAATGTGGGAACCACTACAAAAAATTTGGACAACCCAGAAGCATAGAGGTGTGCAGGAGAAAGGGAAGGAGGTGGCACAAGGATGTACTCATGGTGCTAGAGCCCTGTGGCACTCTGCCGCTCCTGCTCTGCTTGCAGACTTTATCCCTCACTTTATCCCCCAAGCACAACTCTGCGAGTGCTCTGGGCAGGCTCAGCTCCTGAATGTAAGTCCCAGTCTGAGCTCCATTGGGCTATAAACCTTTCATGCGGTCTGACAGGTGACTTAAGCATCCTACCCCAAAGCAGTGTGTCTAGGGACCACACTTACATCAGCTGATATCACAGGCTTAGATCACAGCTGACGTGCACTGCTGCAGTCCCTTGCCTTCAGGTCACCCCTTGCATGTTGTTGCTACAAGCATTGCAGAGCTGAACTGCACAGCAGAGCTGAACTGCACAGCAGAGCTGATTGAGCTGTACAAAAAGAGTTTTGCTCTTACACACAAATTTATCTTTCAGCCATACCGGTCCCATAGCCAGGTTTATCCTATGGCCACACAAACTCTCACTTTGGACAAGGGCTGTTTTTCTCACCAGCAGCATCACTTTAGGCATATGTTGGTTCCTGCCTCAACTCACTTGACCTGACATTCCTAAGTTCCCATTGCATTTCTGAAAAGCAAGAGGCTCCCCCCCACCAGCACGGCACTTCATTCAGAGCCTGATGTGAAGCACGTCAAAAAGCAATAGGAATCTTTCTCCTGGTACTGGTGGGCTGTAGCTACAGGTTGCATTCCTTCTAAGATATCCCACACCCTTACACCTCTCCAGCTTCTGTGAGCATATTGGGTTTGAAACAATATCTAGTCAGGACCTGTATTGCATTATATTTGACAATTTAAACACATATACTTGCCCCAGAGCTACAGGATTGGTTGAAAAGGTTCAAGCAAAGTTTCTACAGTCTTAACATGCCAGTTGGTTTGCTCAGGCTTTTTTTAAAAATAAATGCTTTTTAAAGAAATATGTGTGTATTAAAAGGGGGGAGGGGGGGGAATGTGTGGTTAAGGCACATGATTAAGATTACAGAAATAATGCTTTGCAATAAAAATTTTAATTTGTCACTTAAAATCTCTTTGCCTGTTTCCCAATATGTAAAATGCAGTAATTAATGCTCGTCCACATTTATTAAGCGTTCTTTCAAACCTGGATGAAAAGCCCCATACGAGCATTAAGTATTATTACATCTGGCTACCCTGAGTTGCCACGTTCAACAAGTTCTGCTATTCATTTCAAATAGGCGAAAAAATTAACGTCATTTGGTTGGTGACTCATTCAGGAACCAAACCTGATTTCTTTTAAACCAAATCTGACCTATTTTTTTCAGGTTCACTCCAAAAAGTTGGCACTGAGAATGTGGTGTGATTTGCCCGTCCTCTACCATGATATTGCTTGTCTCCCCAGCCAAACAATGAGACACTTTTTGCAGGAGAATAATTAAAAATATGGAGATTCCTTTTGGCTTTGCAGTCATTTTTATGAGTGAGCTGAACATCTAGCAAAAGTTTTCCCTGCCAGCTGAAATTTTGCCGTAGTTTCACAGCCAATTTAAGCCCATACAAACCAGCAGGGCCATTAAGAGGGGAGGCTCCTCCTGCCCCCTTCACTCAAGTGCTGCCACAGCCATGCCTGAAGCCAGCAGGTCCTAAAGTGGCTCTGTGATTGTGATCAAACCGGGAAAACCCATTCTTGCCTTTTTCTAACCACTCCGACAGTTCAAGCTGAAAACTGGTCACTCAGCTTCTCCACTCCTCAACTTCCCTACCTGTAACCTGCGATAATATTTCCATGCACACGGCTGTTTTTAGCAAGTTTTTTTATGAGCAGCAATAAAAGCTACCTAAGATCAAAACATGTAAGGAAAAAAGTGTTTTGGTTTTAAGTCACAGACCTAGGCAGAAGTGAGTATGGAAGACATAAAAATAGACTCATGTCTTAATTGTACACTGTACCTTTTGGATTAAATCCTCTAGGTATCAATCCAAAAGCCTCCATCTCAGGGACCTCATTTTCTTCATCATTGGAGTTGTTTGGTGGGAGGGCTCTTCTCCCATTCAGAGGAGGTTTCTTCTTCTCTTCGTTGGTGTTCGTTGTTTCAGACATCCTATGTTAAAAACGTTGTAATACCATGAAAAAAAAAAAGAGTGCAAGGAAAAAGCAAACATGAGCCAGCATGGCACATATAAGATGGGAGAAACAAAAAACATTGTGGGGTGCCAGCGAGCTACACATTTTTAAACTCACATAAATAAAAACTGAGAGGCAGAAAACATCAGTCTAATGATGGAGTACAGCTCTCTAAGGATTGGAAGGCATTTTATGTTTGTCAAAACACATGAATAAGAGAAGAAGGGGGGTGGGAGAAGGAGAGGGAAGCCTAACAGAAGTATTTGCCTAGGAGAAGCAGGGCATTAAAAACATTAGGGAGTTTCAGGTAAAAGAACTAGAAAATCATCCACTTTCCCACCCTCCAAAACAGCATTATTGAATCCAAAATAGCAAATTATATTTCCAGAAAGTGCATCACACACTACCTCCCCCTAATAAAAATGACATTCTAAGTTATACTGCAATCATCCCAAATACTACAGCCTACAACAGTCTGTGGATGATTACTGGAGAATTGTATTTTTGTCCCTATGCACACGAACACTCAGTATCTAAAGGGCTAACTCCTGCACCCAGAAAATCCACTTTTGAGAAAGACAGGGAGAGGGAAAAAAAAAAAGGGGTTGGGGGGGGGAAGAAAAAAAAAACCAACAGAAAAAAGCACTTCTCCACTTATTTCTCTCCCACTAATGACCTTAAGGCAAATCTCAGATGTAGGCTGATCAGAGACTTCTCTTTGAGCTAGCCAAAACTGCTTTCACATCTATTTCAGTGTAAGCATGTAGCAGTGAAAAAGCCACACCATCCTTCTAAGAAAATATGCGTGGCTGAGAACACAACTTCTTCCCAAAGCTCCTGAAAACAGCAATTCAAAATGTAGCCATTTAATAGCAGTAAGCTCTTAAAGGAAGTTTTTTAGTTAGCAAGGGTACCTTCTTTTCAGAGAGTCTTTTTTTTTTCTTCTCCCTTGCAGAATTTCTGAAGTGCAATAGAAGCCTGGAAAAAGTTGGGGGCTTTTAAGTAACCTCTGTATATCCTCCTCCCTCCTCTTGCAATAGGACAGTACTGAAAGGGTTGCCAAGCCCTCCCCACACCACCTCCGAGGATGTACCACCGCTGCTGGCACGTCTTTGCTTACTCACTCCCTCTCTCTGCCTGTCTCACCCCAACAATTTTAGGGCACTTGGGCTAAGGAAACAGCTTGGGTACTGAAGTTTCAGTTCTTAGTGAGACGGAGTAAAGCTGCTCATGGCACAAGGGCATATAAAGTGGGAGACTGGAGGGGATTTTCTGAGGGATGCAGCCCAAAAAGCCGTGCTCACTATGTTGCCAGTCTTTAATGGTGTCTCTATCTCATGATGCCTGCAATACAACTTCAGGTGCTGGTTTTCAGAGTACTCCGAGGCAGACACAATGACGGTTCCCCTGCTTGGTGCCTCACTGCAGTCCTTTCAGAGGACTGGCGGGAACATGGACATGGAGAGCTTGCTGGTGGCCCGGCAAAGAGGACCTTTTTCTTGAGACCCTGTGCAACTCAGGAGAGTGAAGGTATTTTGCACCAAACAGCTGTTTGGGGCAAATGACCTTCAGCTCTTGTCCATGACAAAATACATATCACCTAACAACTAGTGTCTGGGGCCATACCTGGTAGAAGCATTTTAGCTCCACATCGATTTTGTTTGGTTCCACTAAGCTCTAAGATAACTGGGGACTGTATGACACCTCCTCTGTCAGATATAACTCCACAGACCAGTGGAGTTACGTAGAGAAAAAGCATTGTATGGGGAAGAATTCAGTCCCACTGTCCTGCCAGCTGCTACTGTTTGGTAGTAAAGGTACAAGTCACCTACTAAGAGCGTGGATGGGCAGTGGAGAGCCCCTCTTACACACATGGGACAAGCCATAGGCACTTATTTGCCTCAGTTACAGAGTAATCGAAAGAGTAAGGAGATACAGTGCAGAGGACTCCACTCTCCTTCTGCCAGCTATGGCTTCCAGGCCCCTAATATCAGTGAAGCCTCAAACCTCTGCTGGCTTAACACCACTGAAATCAAGCCAGGAGGCAGAAGAGGAGAGAACCGGGTCACATTCCTGTAACAGGAAGCAGCAAGTAAATCATCTGGAAGACAGGACCCCCATCCCAGTTCCCTGGGGATTTCCCAGTAGAGGCCACAGCCACAGCAAGGTAGCTCCACACAAGCCAGGACACCTGCACAGCATGGGGCAGAGATGCCAGCTGGGGACTGGGGAGCAGTGTGGCTGCACCAGCATGGCCTTGTAGCTGGGCTAACGAGCCTGCTAGGGCTGATTGCCAAGGCACGGCACCAGGCTGCAGCGGTTTTGGAGGCAGCCTCGCTATCTGCACACAAGTGTTGCACTATGCTGTCTCATAGCCAAAGGGCTCAAGCTCTCCCCTGCCTCCCCCAGCAGGCTGTTAGGCAAGTAGCACGGAAAGCCACCAAGCCCGGGGACTCCCCTTCACCTGCCCTGCTCCCCCAGGAGTGCAGGCGCCCCACAGGGAGAGATCTGGTCCCCTCGCTGGCATCCTGAGCTGTGATTTCCATTGACTCGCTTTTAGGCAGATGGGCCCTGCAGTAACCATCTGGAGGGCAAGCAGCACCCCTGGCACCCGGGAACACAACGAGCTTTCTGAGGGAGGAGGCTGGTTGCTGATTTTCTGCGGGTTTTTGAGGGGGGGGGGTGGTTTTTTTTTTTTTTTTTTTTTTTTTTTTTTTTTTTTTTACATTCCACCCTGATTTCAACATGGCATGCCTCTCTCTCCACTTCCAGCCAGCGCTTCATTTCCCAGAATTGCAGCTGCTGCAACGATGTTACAAAAGCTGATATAAATATTGCCTCGGTGCCATGCCTGCTGGAGGCCTGCAACACAAATAAGAAGCGCCGTCTCCCGAGGAAGTCATGTGCTTCCCCAAGTGGCTGCGGCGCTGTCAGAGCCGGGAGGAAAACTTTCCGCCAGAGCGAGGAAGGGAGCGAGCGGATGCAGCTGAACAGATCCCGCTCCAGCCATTGCGCTCAAACAGCCAGCAGTTGCAGATGTTCCCCCGCGCCCATGCGCGCCTCTCCGGGGCTTTCGGCAGAAGCCGATGATCATGCGGAAAGCAGGGAGGCCAAAATTTTTGGCGGTGGCAGCAGGAGTGGGGCTTTGCATCCAGGGAGAGTAATGTTCCGCAGGCTGTAATTTATTTATTTTGTGGGGAGTGATGTAAATTTGTGCTTATGACAGCTCCAGATGGCAGGTATTTTCTCATTACCTTGACTTCTTAGCATTTGCTCTCCCTTGCCTATTAGACTGCGCTGGCCTTAATTTAACTTCCATGGTTCGAAACTACTGACATCAGGGCTGATGCAGGAGGGGGCACAGAGAACACGAAGCCCTGGTTTTCCTGCAGGGCCTTATATTTAATGAATGATGCACTGGTGTGACCAGTGAAAGAGCATTCTCTCTTCCTGAAGCCGCTTCTGCACTGCACCCTGTGGGGAAGCAGGAGCCCGTGCCGTTTCTCAGAGGCAGCCTTCAGATGCTCGTGGCCTTTGCCAAAGACCTTTGCAGTCACGGGCACCCTTCCCCCTGCAATGGACTTCGGATGATGGACAGCCTTTCCTTCCGATCCCCACAGCAAAGCCCTTAAATGGCTGGAAAGCTTGCGCCGTAAAGGGTTATCCAAAATGCAGTGTTCCCTGCTGTCGCTAGAGCCAGTGTCGCTCTGTTCCCAGTCCTCCCATACCAGACAAGAGTTTGCGGGGAAAAAAATCCCTCAAAACACAAGAGTCAGTAAAGCTTTACAGCCAGAGGAGAGGGCGTGCCAAGATCTGTCACAAGCAAACTGATCAACCAGGTGCTCACATAAAAGGGTTGCTGTGCTGCGTGCCAACGGCTGCATGGGAGGGATATTTTGCCTACCACTACTGTAGCTACACCAAGCACTCCTTGGCAGCAGCTGAGCATTGTAAAGCTCTGCAACAGGGTGACTTCCTTTCTTCCTTTTTTTAAATATTACCCTCGTGCCATTTGCAGTCTAGGTGGCTGCACTGGGATATTATACTACAGCATGTGCACCAGTATACCTGCGAGGACATCATCTTCACTGCCCGTAACCCAGACTCTTTCAACTCTGATCTTCTATACATAATAATAAATAATACATAATACATAATAATAAAACGTTGCCTCTCTCTTGTCTTCTCAGAGCTTCACTCAGGAATCTGCACCCTTTCTTAGATGATCAAGTCTGGCTTCCCTCTCCCTCTGCATCAGTACTTGTCTCCCAGAAACTGACGTTCCTCTTCCTGCGATGCCCTGCCACACCAAGGCTGCAGGAAGAGTAGAGCAGATTCTAACAGAAAATATGAAAAAAATTTCTGTTTTTAAACAGAAGCAAATTTCAGAAATGTTCATTTGGTGGTTTTGTTTGCATATTTTGCTTTGGGCTTTTTAAATAACAAAACAAGCTAATATATCTCGCTGCGTGTAACAGCTCTGGCTACCACACACAGTGGATTATATTTTGAGTTAATGCTGAAAATTCAGAAGGCCCAGGTCTGAAACATGGCATGTGTACACACGTCTGTATGTGTGAAAGAGGGGCAGAGACAGAGAGAGAGAAAATGGCAGCTCTTCAGATGGTGGAACATTTGGAGAAGGGGAGATAGGGCCAGTTTTCAAAAGATATTGTTGCAAATGTTTCTGTTGCAGGAAGAAAAAAAAACATATATATATAGGTACACACGTTCTGCTAGGAAAATGTGGCTTAGGAAATTTAACTCTTCTCTGAAAAATTGTTGTTCCAAACTGCAAGTCTAAATTCAAACTGTGGATCCATATAAGCATCCACGTCTGAGCTGGCCATCTTAGGCTCCCTTTATCCTCCTCACACATCTAGTCTAGGCAGTGATTCATCTCCTCCTACAGCAGACACGTAAATAGGTCAGATGAATCATGGCCTAAAAGTGCCTGTTCCCTGTATTGACTGCAA